CTGGACACAATAAAATTTTGTAATAAAATTAAATCAAAAAGAAACATTCTTCTATTTGCTATTAAACTCTTAAATATTCTGATTTATAATAAAATTTGTATAAGTTTAGTGCCTATTTTTCTATGGTATTACGCGTTTCTTATACAATTGCTGATATCAGACTTTTGCCCGGCGCTTTGTATAAGGCAAAACTCAAAAATCAACCACGACTCCTCCGCGTTTCGCTGATTCGTTTTTTTTTTTTAATTTGCATTGGTGGTACCAGTTGAATGGCAGTTATCGTTGGTGCAATTGATCACGATCGATCGATCGAGATCGCGCTGCGTAATATCATTCTCAAACTTTTTTAAGATGCGATCTATTGGATTCGTCGCGTAATCGCAGGAACAATTTTCTAAAATGTCTGCGTGACATTAATAAACGATAGTAAAAGCATTCGCAGCCTGCATTCAGCGCTAAACGCGATCGGACGTTAGAGGCGATGTTTTTCTTTTTTTATTAAATGAACCGAGTTCAACGCTAAATGCTGCATGCGAAAGTACGGGTCTTCAAGTATTACGAGATTTGGCAGTTATCTTAATTACAATAATTAATTACTTTATACAACAATAGCCTGCGTCGGTGCCTGCCTATGTGTAGGTATTCCTTACTGTAGTTTTACGAATACTCGACTTTCTTTCCTTTCACACCGCCGCGGAAACGCAAAATCGCACGTACGCACGTGTATGAGTATGTGTGTTTCTACCGTTTAGAATTTACTCTATAAAATTTCTCCAAGTCTCCAACAACGCGCCACACTTTCGGTAAAGCCACCGCGTCTCGGCCCGCGTCTCGCAGCGGATCGGTCGGTCGTAACATTTAATAATATCGTGACGATCGTGTGATCTATATCGCTAATAATATATTACTCTGAATCGTATCTTACATCTCCATCTAACAACAACGAACGGTACCTATGTAATCGCAACAGCCTCTTGTTTTTCCCCACATAAATATCCCTCTCGCCTTGCGATAAGTATTTTCGCTCTCCCCGCCGTTTTCTTTCTCGTCTCTCGAAAAAAATGTCGAGAGGAAGATTTATTCATACGGCATCGGATCTTCGTTCATCCAGTGGAATCGAAACCGGCTTCTTCAGAATTCTAACAAGCGAGATATATTCATAAAAATTCATCGGCACAACGGAGTGTATAAAATGGAGCAAATAATCTTGCTGTATATTAGAGCAAATATATTTCGAAAAGTGTGATGAACGTGATGCAATCTTTTTATGCTTCGAAATAAAAGAATTATAAAAAATATGTGAAATAATAGAATGTATATTATAATTCCGCTTAGATGACGGCATTATTAATATCTAAGTTTACAAGCAAGTATTTTACAATTTTGTTCACGTGTGAATAATATTACAGTCTCTGTATTTAATGTTTTTTTTAAATCTTTAAATCAAATCTTTAAATCAATGTTTTCGCCATTCGGCATCGTACGATTTAAACGATTTCGACATTGACGAAGAGTGATATCCATTCCGTTAGAATAGTGAAAAATTTCTCAAACAGCTATTTCGATTAATTTCTCGAAGGCGTTAGATGCGCGTACTTTTCGCTGTCTCCGTGAATCGTTCTCGAGGGCTAATAATCGCTATAATCTAGAGTTTATATCGTAGGTGAGCGCGCCGACGCGCAAGAAACGAAATCACAGTAGGACGAAAATCCACTAAATTAAAAACTCGCTCCTCCACCCATGCATCTTCGTCCTATACGCGCCTCGCGCAGCTGAAATCGATGCTCGCTCGATATACTCTCCGATACTCTCTTCTACGAAATCTACATTATATCTCCATCTTATCTAATCTCTTCGAAATCTCCGGATTTCGCTCGCTTCTTCCCCAGCGCAGATCCATCGACTCTATTCTTTTTTTTTCTTCGCTTTCTCTTTTTCTTCCGATTCCGCAGTCTCATCCGTGAAGAGACCCAATCCATCTCGGTCGTTCGATCCGTCGTTCCTCTTTGCCTCGCGGCAAACTATTCCAAGATAGTTCTCTAAATAATCGCTCGCGATCTCTTCATTTCTTCTTGTTCCGGCCGCTCTTCTGCACCTTCGTGATCTTCAGACGACAGTTGGAGCCGCCGGTGTACACCACCTCCGTCCGGCCGCCTTCCTCGGCCGCGGTCACCAGCGCCTTGACCGATCTGACGTGCACGTCCTTGGCGCTGATCTCCAAAGAAGTGCCAGGATAACGATCGCGCACGCATTTACCGATGCTGGTGGCCTGCGTCTCGGTGAGCTCTACGCCGTCCAGGCACAGCCAGGTGAGGCACTGCAGATGCGTGAGCACCGTTTGCACGAATACGTGCTCCATTTGCACCCGCTTGGCGCTGTCGGTGACGATCAAGCCGTTCGCCCTGAGGAAGCTCAGGCCGCAAAGCTTGAGATATTTGGCGATCTGCCGCATCGTCCGGTCGCTGTCCTCCAATGTGATACGCCAGAAGTTGATGCGAAGCGACTGTAAGCCGCGAAAGTGCGCCGCCAAGCAGCAGAAGAACTGCTGCAGGATCTTGTCGTCGATGAAGAGCAGCGAGCCGCTGCTGCCGCCGATCGTCGACTTGTCTAGCGACAGATCGAGCTCGCTCAATGACGTAAAGCCCGCCAGGAACGGCAGTAGCAATGGTCCGCGCAGCGCCAGACGATCGTTCACTGTCACCTGCAATCAGAAATAATTCCCTCGGCAGACCTTATCGGGCGCAATTTGTTTCACACGCTTTCGGATCTGAGAGATGGGGAAATAGAGAGAACGAAAGAGAGGAAAGGAGAGAAAGAGGAAGAGAAAGAGAAATGCATAGGGTGTCCTGAAGGCGAGCAATTTCTCGTCTGATTTCCAATTTTAAATCAATTCTTCATTATCCAAGTAACAAATAGTTGGACATAAATAGCATTGTGAAAATTAAATTTTGAAAGACGTTTATTTAATATCGAGATTTCATACTTCATTGAATTTTGAACGGAGTTTAATTAATTAATTTTAAAATTATAAATTTTGCCACAACAATCTTTCAATTTGTTCAAAAATTTGGAAAAATTCATCTAAAGTGGAAGAAGTTCGCTTAATCTTTCCAAACTTTGAAAAAAAAGCGAATATATTATAGTTTCGTCAAATCTTTCAAGATGAAAATTAATTAATAAAAACACCTGTGATAAAAATATCTATTAATAAAAATGTTGAAACTCGAAGACTTGCGACAAATAAAGATTTTCCTGGAGGAAAAATCAATTAGAAACTGACAAAGATAAAGAATGCGCTTGCAAAATTAAACGTTCTGTTTTGGAATCACCCTGTAGAGCGAAGAGAGTAGAATCGGGAGTCGGCGTAATGCGGAGACAACGAAGACGAATGTCGGTACCGGGCACCGTCCTTTATTTATCGCTGCCGTGGCGCAGCCAATTGTAATTGCGCGTGTAATAGAAAATATATGAGTTATAGATAAAGGAGAAGAGCACACGAAATCTCTGGCGAACATGGAATGGAATTGGCATTCTGGACACGAAATGGAGTAGTCATCTCTTAATAGTCTCCGTTTAATAAATGTACTAAGGGACGCTGCTTATTCAAACGGAGTTCAGACTTATGCAATTTATTTAAACATATATCGAAATTAAAAATGGTTGCTTCTAGATATTTTTGTGTCTTATTTAAAGTTTGTATAGGTTTTTTTAATATTAAATTTAATATAAGAAAAGCGCACAGATTTTTTTGGCATCTGAAATAATTTATATTAGATTTTTTTATATCACTAGCAGATAAGATTTCATAGATTTTATGAAAATCGTATACAAAGTTTATCACGAAAATCAGGCGACAGATTTAGAAATCATTTTATCTTAACACTCTATTATTTTAATATTGTATATATTATTTCATTGTAAAGAACAAAATTATTCTAATAGAAAAGAATGCATTTGCCGATATTACACAAAATCTAGCGTGAGTTATGATAAAATGATATCTCGCGCTGTTTCATTTCGAAAGAAAATTTCTGGATTCCAGATCCGTAAGATTCTCGAGTACAATATTAGAAGAAAAGACAATATTCGGGATGTTACATGTGCCGGCACGTTCACAATTTCCGGCTGTCGGAATTACCGCGGGTTGATATTAAGGCGTGGGAAAATGATATTCGGTTCAGCGGTGGCTAACCGATTTTCTTTTACGGTGTGTTTCATGGACCGCAGCGACGATTCATTTTTCACGCCGAGACGAATCATCCACGAGAGAGACTCGGATCACGAACTGCCTCGTCTCGGACGGAGCGCGGATATGTCCACCTAATGGATGCTGCCAGATCTCGGGAACAGAATGGGCGCGCAGTCTTGTACTACATTCAGGGAGGAGCTTGGTCGAGGGAAACGGACAGTTACATCTGCGTCTACTGGAAACGGCGCGATACTGTACATACGCACGCTATCTTGCCGTAATGGCACGGGCATCCGTATGCGCCGCATTTGAGAACGTGTAACTGCATCAGTTTGACCAGCGAACGGTCAGGCTTCGTTAGCGCAGTATAATAGGATCGCATATGTCATTACGGTGTTACATCGCGGGATCAAGTTCGTAAGCGAGTTTGCAGACGGGTTAAACCGTCCCAAGGCTTGCCTTGTTATCATTTTATACTCTGCTTCGGATAATGCTATACAAGACGGTTGGAAATCATTTCGAGGTAATTTTCAAATTTCTCCACTGTTTAATATGTACACATATAGATCTCCTGGATAACATTTATGAAAATTGACGTTGAAGATGCAAAAAGTTGAAGATTTGTAAAACAGACGAATGGAGAAAGGATCGAAGAGGAAAGAGTCAACATTTTGAAGTAGGAAAATCAATTCCTGAATTGAAATTCAGTAATTAATTTTTCGGTCAACTATAATAACAAAATATAGTTTGGCAATAATAAAAAATTAATTGACGGCTATCGTCGTGTTCGAATATTCAAGCGACGATCTCAGCGACAATGATTTTCTTAAATATTTCATCTACTATTTTCGAAGCGAAAGTAGTAGTCACCCACCTGGAATCCGGCTAGTCTCAGGAAGACAATTGCGGGACAGGCTGGAGGCGGTGCGGCTCGGAGAAGCTCGGCGCCGGCATCGTCGCGACGTCCCAGTCTCGACAAAGGACCCTCGTGTACTGCCAAATGCAGACGTGCGTTGCACAGACTCAGTTCACGCACGCTTGTATACCTCAGCAGCTCGGAGAACACTGCCAGACTGTCGGATTCCTGCGAAAAACCCTATAATATTAGATAAATATAATATTTCAAGAAAACCTACGATTTTAGATTGAAATTTCACTAATGTCCTCCGGAAAGAATGATAAACGTAGTTATAAATTGTGTACGTTTATATTAATTTTATATATTTCAAAATAAATAATGCATTTATATCTAATAATTAATTTATACGTAATAGTTGTGGAAAATAAAAAATTTTAACAAGGGTTATGAAGAAGGCAATGAATTTTTTTGCAATTTCTTTCGAATTAGATACTTAAATTTTTTTATTTTCATAATTTACTCGTCGCTTACTCCTCGTTGTTAACTTTGTTAAGAGAGGTTCATGAAACGATGATGTATACTAATGGCAGAACTTTGCCTTTAATAAGAGAAAGTATCGAAAATTAATCCTTTCTGATCAATCAAGTGTCAAAAGTTCCAAGATCTAATTTCGATCTTAATTAAGTAGCTTTGAATTATTAAAATACGATCTTTTTTTTTTTTATGTAATGCGGTCCTTTCAATCAATTTAATCAACGTAAATATAAAGTTTTCTTCTTCAATTAATTGTTAACTTGAAGAATTTATATTTACGTTGGTTAAATTGGTTCAAAGAGCGTTTTACATAAAAAAGACCGTATGACTTGTTCAAGTTAATAATTAATATTATGCGATTATGAAATGGAATCTGAGCTTGCAGGTCACCGCTTAAGATACCCGCATTGATTATATAATCGCTCGAACCGCGAATATCCGACGATACTATATTATGCTAAAAGCTCAAACTGGATGACGCTTCCGCTAAATCGCGCGTAAACGATGCGGGCACGTGAAAATGTCGACGTCAGGACCTCTAAGCGCGCGGCATCTCTTCCGCTTCTGGTTCGTCGGAGCACCGGCTAATCCTATCGCGGATCGACACGGAGCAGCGATGCGCTATACTCTCGTTGCTTCGTAACTTCGAGACTACCGTCTCACTCGACCTAATCCGCCACGAGAATGTCGTTAAGGCGGATGGAGAACGTCTTAGCGTACGCGTACCGTCGTCGTCGCGACGATCTCGTCGACTATACACGTCGACGATATTACGTTATTCCGGCAATAAGACGGCGGGAGGAGGAGCCGCGCGACGCGGATTATATGGGCGCACGGTGCACGCTGACACGGGGTTAACAAGGCACGACTAATTCGCCGAAGTGTCATCTCGCGCGAGTTAATCTCTCCGTCGCGAAGGCAAATTTGTTGAAACTTCGTATTTTTATTCGCGAGATACGTTCGACGAAAGATTTTCCGCCGAGATCTCTTTCTCCCGAAATTCGTTTTTAAAAACGTGTTCATTAAGGCGCATCAAATACAGATGTTGATTCCTCTTCAAAATCGTTAAGAATACAAAGGATTAAATAAAGGATCCAGAAACGACGGCGTAGTTGCTCGTTCGATCTCGGCGGGGCGGAGAGGCACGGGCGGTGCAGAGCGGTTTCATTATGCAGAGAACGTCGTCGCTCGGGGAGCAACGAGTGTATCTCACGGGAGCGAGCGAAACGAAGAGCTCGCTTCTCCACGGAAAACTATGTAAGCGGAAGCTCGCCTGTTCGCTTAGTTTGCGCACCGTACATTAGACGCGCGTGCGTTCATTAATAAGTTAGCGTTACTTTCAAACTTCATGCGAGATTTATGCGAATCTCGAGCTGCGTAAACTAAGCTTGACGAGAGTGGCGCGCGACTTTGACGGCGGATCTTTTTTTTCAAGGTAGATACACGCCACGCTGCCTTTCAATTTGTTATTGTTAAAAATGATTGAAGACTGTAAAAAGATTCCAAGAAGTAAAATTGACGATAAAATTCCGACAGTCAGCGAGAAATTCTTTCGAAGAGCACGCAACATTTTACGTTAAGTCGGTTGCCGTCGTTATTGTTTCCTAATAGCAGAACCTCTTCGCCGAAAACGATCGTTCGATCGTCGGATTGTTCTCTCGAATCGAAAATATTTTCATCCTGATCTGCCTAATGCGCTACGTGATTTCGTCCTAATGTTGAGAATATTTCTCGGCGGCGAGAATATTTCAACCACAGCGCTTCTCACATGAAAATTTACATTCTGACATTTTACGACAAAATTATTAAAAAGATTTCTTAAAATTGATACAAACGCATATATTAGGTACATGTATTTTTTTAATAAAATAGAATTAAAAACATCAGAGAGCTAAACATCCTCAACTGTAAACTAAAGGACACTGTCAATAGAAAACCGATAAAAACCGATATTGATACGCTGATTTTTACAGCGATTAAAGTAATGTAAATATTCGTAAATATAAAATAACATTGATGCTTTTTTTCTCGATATGATTCAAAGAGTACGATCGTGCGTGACTATTCTGTATCCGCTGGACAAACAGGGTCGAGAGTAGGATTCCATTCTCTAAAGAACCTCCTCGACAGTCCATTTATCTAGCTTGACCCAGCTGATCTCAATCGAATAAAAAAAAAAAAGTTTTCGAAACTGGTAACGACTATCGAGAGCTAGGTGTTTGTAGTGCGTTGACAAATCATTATATTATATATTGCATAAAGTGCATATCGACAATGACATATCTATAATCGTTTGTGATACTTCTGTCAAATATACATGTTTAAATAAAATATTCCAAATCGACACGGTCAAAAGCATACATCATTTTAAGTAAAAAATTCAATACTCGCACGACTGATGGTTAAATAAAAAAAATATATTTTTGTCTATCCTAATTAAAGGCTTTGTTGAATACAAAAATATATTAAACTATAATTATTTTAGTTTTAATATAATTATGTGAATAAAATGACTCCTGTGTAATGTTTTAACACAAATATTATACAGGATTTTTATTGCTGCAAAAGACAAAATTGCTGCTATACATTTTTAACTTGTGTACCGTAAACTAAAATTTTCGACGCTAAATTTGAGGACACGCCGTTAGAACTTTGGTTATCTCAAACAAGGAAATAGCTTGTATATATTTTCGTAGTCTGTCCACTCTAATCTCGACCGTGCGATATGCGCAAAACTTTGAATTTGCGCGAATAGAGTACACATCCCTCGAGATAATATTATACTTCATATTATATGCTGTTTTCTTCTCTCAATAAAGTTCTTAAACAAGGTTTATACAGCAAGTCTAGTTTGCTGGATCACTGATAACTCGTATATATCCTTATTAAATGACATATACAGTTAACATAAATATACAAATAGCATTATAAATAAAAAGGTAACAAATATATGAGGTTCACGTTATTGCAGCACTTAAAGTTACATCTAAAGCAATGCTCGAAATCACATAAATTATTGTGATATTCTCTCTAAATTTGCAAGATGATGTAAGATTAATAAACGCGCGACGAGAGTCGAAATACAACGCTCGCCGTCCTTTGAGATTTACCTCGTGCGTGGAAATTCTAAAGTAACACGGGATTTATTGTTGCTAACCGTGATATTTACGAGCGGCGATATTTATTGCTTCCTGACAAGCGCTCGCTGACGAGCGTAGCTTCCTGGGGATCGCGTTCTCCAGCTCGCCCGCGAAATCCCGTCCGGTTTCATCAGTGCGGAATTCGCGCGCGGCTGAAGAGCGGCATGAATAAAATCCAAATCCCAGCGTCGTTGTTGTTCTCCTCGTCATCGAGATTAAAAGCGGATGAGGCGCGTACATACGTGCCGCGAATTTGTTTTTCGAGACTATTCAGACGGCTGAAAATGAAACGCGTCGACAGTTGCGTTGCCGAAGACTTGGCTTTGACATTATTCCGCGGTTTCCGTGAATCTGAATGCGCGATTCGTTAGCACGAAGCTTTACTCGCGCTCAGTAAAGATACATTCGGCGCGATATAACATCGGCGATAAAGCTGCACTAAAATTACGTCTCTGGAGAAGTATGGAATAGCATCACCGGGATCTTAAAATGTAATTTTGAGTAAAGTTGGCGAACTCGCGTGTACGTAAACTCTCAATTCACAAGTCTCAACTCTAAACTTCGAACTCCTGCTGTTAGACGTCAACTCTCAGCTGTTAGGGGTCTTCCAAGTCAAAATTCATAGTTTCTAAATCAAGATAAATAGCACATGTATATATTTATCAAAAATATAAAAAACTTGTAAATTTCGAATAAAATAAAAAATTGATAAAATAAATTTTATAAATTTATATGTGAGATAAAATATGATATAAAAATATAAAAGTTTAATAAAGTAATAACTTTATATAAATATTTATTTTTACTATTTTTCTACCGTTATTAATTGATTTACATACTTCATAATTTTTATCAATTTTTACACACTGACGGCGTATCATAATGAATTTGTTATAAATATGTGAAATAAATAAAAATACAGCCGTAAAAGAAAAGAATATCACGCCACGGATGAAACAACCCGGTCTCTCTAATGAGAAACTTTTTACGTATAATTATTTATAAGGATACTGTGGCTTTGCTATGATGCACATTTCATCTCGATACACACACACACATGCTGCAACCGTAAAAATATTACTTTGTTCCCGAGTACATTAATTAATTTTATTTATGTATTATAATTATAAAAGAACTATATATAAAAGGACTACTCCTCCTAAATTTCTTTAATCAAAATTTAAAAATATTCTTCTTTATAGAAACCTCAGCTAATCCTTTTGAGGTTATTCTGTATTTTTTAGTTACTAAAAATGTATAATATAAGTTTATTAATTAATTTATAGCCTAAATATATAAATAATATAATTATACTTTAATATATAAATTTTTTGCACAGATTAATGTAATTTTTTTTAGTTGTGTTCTTAGTAATTATTGCCATATAAATCTTTCTAGCAAAAAAACAACTAATTATTAGACAGTTCTAGATACCTTTCTATGTACACATAAAACCATGTCCAGTACAAAGTACTTCGAAATTTGTTTTTTTGTCCGAAAATAACAAAGCAATGGCAGAAATGAGAATAATTCTCGGGTGACGTTTTCTGT